GGATTCTCCCTCTAGGCATGATTTTAACTGAAAAGTTTAAAAATAGGTTATTTGATTTCATTGCTCAAGTAAAGCTCTTAAAAGTGATATCACTTTCAATATCTGGGGAATAATAAGTCTGCCTCTTGTCAATTTATCATAAACAGATATCTTAAAATAAAGCCTATTTTTAAAATTATGTTTCATTCTTTCATGGATTACTAATGATTCAAACTATTTTGGACTATTGCCCTCAAATGTAGGTTGGTGCCCTGGATATTTGTCTGTTCAGAGACAATGTGTCCTGGGTGGTGTTACAAAGCCTTCCTTTTTCTGGAAAGGGGGTTTGGGTGGGTTACACATCACCATTGCACAATGTTTCTCTAAATAAAATAGCCAAAGTAAAAAATGATGAATTTGTTTTGTAATTGTTGACTACTCTGTATTTGGTAAACATATGGGAACAATTTGTTAAAGACAGCTCATGTCTGTGCAAATGCAGCTCTAGTAACATGTTTCAACGTTTATTTTAGGTTTGTTCTCTCATAACTCTTGCTTTCCATAGGACACATTTAATATGTAAAGAATGCACTGCGACATTCAGAAAAATACTAGTTCCCTTTATAGAGGACTAGTTACTAATAAATTTGTTTGCCATTAAGGGGTGAGAAACAATTACTGCTTTAATCTTAATTTTTTAGAATTGTGGTTGGTGGAAGCAGAGATTTAAGCAACTAGGTGCCTCTTTATTTCACAGAGGAAGTAGCTGCACTAGGGTGGTTGGGTATAACTAGCTTGCTGCAAAACTGCTCTATATTTAGATTACAGGCCTTAATTTAGAACAAAGAAAGAATAGAATGAAGATCCCACCATTCCATGCCAAGCCTCCCAGACTAATGTAACTATTCATCTGTCTGCATGCAAAAGACTAGAAAAAATGATGCAGAAATGTTTTTAAAAACTAGTTATTAATCCAGTGTCTTTTTTATCAATTTCAAATAAATGACCTTTAGTACATTAACATCTGAATAGAATTAAACATAATCAGAGTTGAAAGTTGGTCTGAGTTTAAACAGATTATTTTATAAAAGGCATGAAGGATATATTGAGGCTTAAATAAACAGAGATCATATAATACAGCCCAAGACAACCATATTTTGTTAATTATAGCTATTCCTACACTATTATGTCTGAGAAAAATGAATTAATGTTTTCTCAGAACTAGGGGCTCATAGAACACTCTCTATAGTTTGCTCACTTTTCAATATTCTTTTATAGCTTTTTACAAAAGTAGTCATGGAGGGCCAAACAGATCCTGAAAACCCCTAATTAGTTTGTGCCCTTTCACAACTCTTCAAAGCCACTGCCACTCCCTTTCATATCATCTGCACTTGTGCCATTTGAGTCAGTGATCCATAGAGTCATATTACCTTACTGGATATTATGATGTCACAACAGCAAATAAAGCACATTTACTTTCTGTAACATCCTTCCCAGACCTGGGACCTTCTAGATGTTTTAGTCACAACTCCCAGCATCCCTGTCCATTGGCCATGCTGGTTGCAGCTTATGGAAGTTCTAGTCCAAAGCATATTGAGTGCATCAGATTGGTGAAAACTGTCTGATACAGATCACATGGGTAATTCTAGCCAATCAGGGATCATTCTAATAACTGAACTCTTGCAGCTCTTTCAAAACCACTACCCCCAAATTAGTGAAATGTGGGACCCTTCTTACACTGATGAAGATTTTAACAACAAAGCCCCCGCTTCCCATACATAAACATTTTCGCTCAGCTCTATTTGCATTTTTATTATCTGTGTTGACTTGTTTGGTTCCAAGGGGAGGGGAAAGCACAAATAATGAAAAAATTAAGAATCCATACAGACAACTTGGCATAGAGCAATTCAAAGTAAAAATAAAGTTGGCAAGAAAGCAGGAGAGCAATGGATGGAAAATGTTAAGTGTACACACCAGTCACACTTTATCACAAGTGTAAACCCTTGTTCCACTTAACTCCTAACAAAACCAGGGATTCACCGCATTGTTTACCTTCCATGTCAACATCCTATAAAATTGTAAGCAGGGTTTCTTTCCATTATGAACTCACCGGAACTCAGTTCCGGTACCTCTCAGCTGAGCGCCATTGGCATTCTAAGAGAACAAAGGAGGCGTACATGGTGACTTCTGGCACCTCTTTTTCTCGAAAAATAGCATTGATTGTAAGTAAAGTAAAATCCACCCGAATGTTGTTCTTCCTCAGCTGAAAAGCCAGGTTTCTTACATATGCATAATATTCAATAGGCTTCTAAGCCAATCCAGCAACATGTCCAGTACCTCTCCTAGATTACCAAAGGTGCTCTATAAATGCTCAATTGCCTTTGTCCTCTACCTACAAAACCATGAAATTTGTTGGGTGAGTTCCAGAAAAATGCCAGTGCTAGGCAACAATAATTCATTTGCATTCATTGAAAATCAATGATGATGAATTATGCAAAAGGGAGTCTAAGCCAAAAGTCTTTCCAAACATTCCACAGCATGGCTTTAGATAACGATACTCTACAATTTGCTTTGTCAGTATTGTGACCTGAGGGTAGCTAGTTTTCCAACTCCAACCACTTACATGAATTTTCTGTGGCTTGGGGTGCATTCATGCTGTCTGAGAAACTTGTTTCAAAATTTTCCAGTCTTTCATTCCCGCATAAGGCTTATTTTAACATTTGAAAGCAATCTGTAACAGAAGCAGAACCACGAGTAGGCTATGACAGAGTAAGCTAAACATCTTTCCTAAATTTAGTTTTTGTTGCAAATGGTCTGCTTAAAATTAGTGGACACTAAAATTTATGTTTTCACTGACCATGGAAAAGCTAATATGCTAACTTCTTCGCCATCACAATGAACTTCTTCAGTCTTCAACAGATGCGGATATATTCTAACCATAGAATTTTCTCAAGGGAAAAAAAGTATGTTTGTGCCAATGTTCTGGTTCCTGTGTAAGTGGCTCAAAAACTACAATGAAACTATAGTAAATTACTCATAAATGAGTTAGTGAATGTCCCAAACTTGTTACTCAGCACATTTTTGTACAAGTGAACAAAACATTCTGTAATACCTGTTTCATTCTGGCTTTTTACCTTAGACCGAGAACATTAAGTGTAAGCTCTGTGGTTGGTCTACCAGTCCAAGGGCTTTCTTTTATACTATAAAGCAGCTGCTGGTGGATTCAGATTCAGCAGTGGGAAAGTGGGCTAGTGAAGGTAGAAAGGGGCATTTTAACTGTTTCTTTGCCAACATTTGTGTGCTTAAGATCATGCTGCTTTTTCACCTCTAGGAGTAAATATATTTAGATCTATATTTTTTACTCCTTAGGGAAAAGAGCAATGGAAGCGGGGGGGGGGGTGAGTAGACAAACAGCTGGAAATGCCAGACTTCTGCTCAATCTAAAGTCACCCACAGCTGCTTTGCACTATAAAAAGTTATATCATGGAACATGCTGTTCTGCCATGACTCCAAGAACATGCATGGCTGTAGGAGTTGTTTTTTTACCCTGGGAGTAAAAAAAACCTCACCAGAAACCTCACAGCTTCTGTACTAAACACATATTTTTCTGTTAATTTACTACATAATAGACCAATGAAACTGTCATCAGCAAAAGTAGCAAAAGGGACTGTAACTCTGTAGCAGGTTATACACTTGTCCCTCTTTCAATCCCTGATGTCTGTTGGTAGGACTGGGCAGTCTCCTGTATGAAACCCTCGAGAGGATGCCAACAATACTGAGGTAGAGGAGGAAACAGTCTGACTTGTTATAAGGCAGCTTCCTATGTACTGTTTAGTGTAAACATTCACTCATCCCTTGTAACTGTTTCTAGATTTGCGCTGAAACATCCAACTGAGTAAAGAAGGCTTTCAGGTGCAGATGCCATAAGGATTATTTTTTCAGCAAGAGATTGAGGGTTTTGGGGGAGTTAACTGCTGAGTGCTATTACAACTGCCACATGACTTTCCAATGAGATACGACAGAGAAAAATGTGCCCACAGAGTGCTTCTTTCTTGGTACTCTGCAGGGAGCTCTACTTGAAGGCACATCACACATCACAGCTATACTTCTGTTGTTCGAAGAACAGAGCAAAACCACAAGGAAAGCACATGTACCCTCCAGGTCCGGTGTCACTATGAACCTAGAAAGATAATTTTCCTGCCACTTATGGCAACACTATACCTCAACTTTCATCCAGTAGATGGGAGTATATCTTAGCAAGGGGTAAAAGCTGTCTCACTGCACAGTATATATGCCCCATGCAAGTACAAAAAATATTTAGCTTCATTTCTCAACAAGCTGTCATCCAAGTACTGTATCTTTCTTTGCATAAAGGTTGCTGTTATGTATCTTCTCTCCCAAAACCAGGCTTTACAGATTTGCTTCCATTGAAAACTTGGTACCTTGTGCATATTTCATTCTCCCTGTGTGCTGCATTTCTAATTTGTCCCTGTTTATTGCAATATGTTCACCATTAGGAATTAAATTGAAAAAATGTTTAATACTTGGTTTAATTTCTCAGCTACAAAGAGATATTTTAAACTTTAGTTAAAAAAACAAAAGAAATATTAAGGTTGCACAGCAAAGAAACAAGCAGCTGAAGAAGAAAAAAGTACAGAAAGAAATATCACAGATTAGATCTATGATAATATTATGGTATGACAGAAACACATCTACTAGGTGTGATAAATTCCTCAAGTCATTGTGATTTGTACTAGCTTCAGACTCATTTGTCTCAAGTGTGTGCACGCATGCAGAGCAATACAGCAGTAAAGTACTAATCAAACTGGATACAGCTGCAAGACACCCAGGTTACATTCAGATCATCATTAGGACATGTACAACTATGTTCCAAAATACAGAAAAAGCAACATCTTAGGTTTTGAAACTCAAAACCAGCAAAAGTTACTATTACATATGTGCAGTCAGTTTAGAAACAATGGCAAAATATAAAAATAATAATAACCCCAAAACAGACATACCTAATTGTTGAAACAGAAGAGCCACACTGGTCCCTGTGACAGGAAGACTATCATGTAAAGGAGTTTGTATCAGTTGCCTGTCTCCTGCTCCCAAGGAAAACAGCTTCTGTAGAAATATATATTAATACACTATTATTGCTTATGCAATATGAGGCGAGTTGTTTTTGAACCATTGTCATCAGATGTATATTAATTAAGTCAAACTGTTGTTTATGTGTTTACAATTGCATACTATTCAATATCCTACAATTTTGGGCCCCCAAACACGGTCGTCATGTTGCCAATATAGTTCTAGCAACTGCTGTGAGCACAGTGAACAAACACTTGTCCCTCTCTTGCCACCAATCACTAACTGAGTGTTCTGTGAATCACAGAGAACACTGATGGGGTGGGGAGGTATCTCACTTCTCCCTGGGCTTTGCAGCATCATGAGTCTTTTACCAGGGCTTATCTTCTCCAAGAAGATAAAGGACCCAATGGACTTTGGGGTGACTTAGCAGCAGCTGCTAAGGGGTAGCGGGTGGCGCTGTGGGTAAAAGCCTCAGTGCCTAGGACTTGCTGATCGAAAGGTCGGCAGTTCGAATCCCCGCGGCGGGGTGCGCTCCCGTCGTTCGGTCCCAGCGCCTGCCAACCTAGCAGTTCGAAAGCACCCTCGGGTGCAAGTAGATAAATAGGGACCGCTTACCAGCGGGAAGGTAAACGGCGTTTCCGTGTGCTGCTCTGGCTCGCCAGATGCAGCTTTGTCATGCTGGCCACGTGACCCAGAAGTGTCTCCGGACAGCGCTGGCCCCCGGCCTCTTGAGTGAGATGGGCGCACAACCCCAGAGTCTGTCAAGACTGGCCCGTACGGGCAGGGGTACCTTTACCTTTTAGCAGCAGCTGCGGGGAAGGGCTGGTCAAGATCAGGACCACAGAGTGTGGGAGAGGGAATTAACCCTTTCTCCCTGAGCCATAACCCCAATGAAAATCATTGTCATTGTTGCCAACATCAGTTTCCCTCTACTGAGGAAAATAGCAGCTCAAGGGAGGATTGTTTTGGGACTGTGGAGGGTTAACACATACACTCATGTGGCACTATAGTATCGGGCTCCTGCAAGTCTGCTTTAAAAAAAAGAAAGAAAGAAAATAGTCTTTTTCTGACTATTTCTGACTGAACGCAAAAAGGCATCCAAGAATTGGCTGCTTTGTAAGTCCATTTTCTAGTAATCTTGGTTGTAAGTCCATTTCCACGTCCATAAAACATGAAAAAGAATGAAAGATCCCTGTTCATCAAAGCCAGGCAATCCACTGAGAATTGGAAAGGAAGCAACTAAACAAATGGAAGGAGTGTGGAAATGGCTCTGGCAAGTCAAGTAGAGGCAAGAGGGAAAGAAGTATACAGAGATTCATGCTTACTAAAGCAGGCTACAGGATAAGTTGCCTGAGAAAAAGCATAAAGCATTGCATCCAACACAGTAATTCCGTTTGCAGAATGACTTCTGCTAACACAACTTCCCATCCCTCTCCTTACCCTATGAACCCTTTGCACAGATGCACCAAATGCACTATAGGGTTCCCCCAAGATTTGGGAGGAGGAGGAGGGCAAGTTCCACTGTGCAAGTGGAAGTCATTCTGCAAACACAATTACTTCATTGGGAACTACTTGGAAAGGTGCCATATACTGGGTTTGACTGAGAGTCCATCTACTCTCAGTGGCAGCAGCTCTCCCATCACCTGCTACCTGATCCTTCTTTAGGCTAAGAATGCCAGGACTGCAAAGCATGTGCTCTAAAGAGAGGGTGTTGCGCAAGGACTGAAGCATGGGGGTTAAGAAAAAAATGCATATATGGTATATAGTAGATTGGTCAAATAGTCATTATGTCAGCACTACCTTCAATGAGTATATAAACTACAGTAATGTACAAGCAAGAGTTGGGAATGAAGCTAACTTATGAGGAAATGGGAAGAAGAAATTCTGGCTTCTTTTCTAGGTAACACACTACTCATTCTTCAGTACAGTCTACCAACTCAAAGTATGACAAGGAAATTTCAGTGCCCCCCCCTCTTCCCTGATCCAGGGTACTATCAGCAGAGTATGTTGGCAGTAGGGAAATGGGAAGGAAAAGGCTCTTGCTGATGGTATTCACCATAACACCCCACTTCTGAAATTTGCTATGGCAACTGAATTACCTTTATCATGACAAAATCATCCATACTTACATGTGAATTCTGTGCAACTATTTTTCATCTTAAGGCACAAATTACTAGTATGCAACAGAGCATGGTTTTCTTAAAACCTAATTTCATCATTGTTGTCTTTCATTGAAATCTGCATTATCATTGAAGACTATGTGGTAGGTCCACTGAAACAATGAACTACACCAGGACTGACCCAATAAAATCAAGTTCAAAGAACAGAAAAACTCCGCTCCCCAGTATCTCATGCAAACCAAGAAAAAACATAAAATATTTTGAAGCACTGGTAATAAAAAAGATTGAATTCTACAGCAATGTTTCTGAATTCGTACTATGCCTTGAAACAGGAATTTGAAATGACAGAATTAACCCTTTGACCTTATGGTGGAATGGAATTCTCGCTCTCTTTAGAAGACGGGCCACTGGGACATACTCAACTGAACTATGGTCCTCTATTAAATCAAAATATTTAAAGAATTTATTTTTTGCTTTCTTCATAAATCAAATTAGCTGAATAAATACCCTTTTTTCCTATTTACCTGTGACCCTCCAGCAGCAGGGACAAAGCACGAACAGAGATTTGCAATGATACTCTCCAGTGAAACATGCAGGTTGTCCACATACACAGTGTAGACCAAGCCAAGGCAAGCCTAAAACATGAAATAAAAATATATTACATTGCAACCTGGGGAAAAGATAATACTAATAATTATTGGAAAATATACATCTGTAGTATAAGGAATGCAATTTTGGAATATTTATATATGAAAATAATATTTTGCTTAATTAAAGTGCAATCTAAGGCTTTCGAGTTAGAACTATATAGCTTTATCAGTAGTATGTTTCCGTAGCAGTAGTTTCAGGCCTGGTTTTAGAACTGAAACCATCTTGATAACCATGACTGATCTTTATGAGCAGTGAGAAAAGAGAATGTTGTTTTGCCTCTACCTGTCAGCAGCTTTTGATGCAATTGACCATGGTGTTCTTCTGAAGCAACTCAAAGAGATGGGAGTTGGTGGTAATGTGTTACATTAGTTCTGCTCTTACCTGCAGGGTTGCTACCAGACAGTTCTAGGAGATTGGTGCTTAGCACCACGGCTGGGTCCCATAGGGCTGCCCCACAAGAGTCGATTCTGTTTCCTTTTTCTATTGAGCATCTATATTAAAGAGTTGGGAGCTCTCGTCTGGGGGTTAGAGCATAGTTTCAGCAGCATGCTGATGAACACAGCTTTCTGCATTCCACTGAAATCAAGAAAGGCTGTGAAGATGTTGGACAAGTGTCTAGAGGTAGTGATGGACTGGATAGAGTCCAATAAACTCAGCTTAAATCCTGCTAAGATGGAAGTGTTGTGGGGGGTGGTTCCTGTTTCTGGGAATTAGGTGTGTGATCCGTTCTGCGAGGTGACTGCACTCCCCTGTGAAAGAACAGGATCACAGTCTGGGCATACCCCTGGATTCCAACTTGTCACTAGAGTCTCAAGTGGCTTCTGTGGCTAGCAGAACTTATGCCCAGCTTATGATGGTTTGCTGTCTATGACCATTCCTGCACAGCGATAGTTTTGCTCAGTTGTCCATGCTCTAGTGACCTCCAATTTGGGATACTATAATACTTAGGGTTAACCTTTAAGGTGGTCTGGAAGCTGTAGCTATTGAAGAATGTGGCTGCTAGGCTGGTAAGTGGGGTAGCCCGATAGGACCATATGTCACTGGTTCTGAAAACACTGCTCAGGTTGCAAGTACCAGGCCTAATTCAAGACATTAGTGCTAGCATCTAAAGCCCTTAACAGCTTGAGACCCAAGTACCTAAAACAGGGTTTTTCATAATATGAGCCAACTCAGACTGGATGGTTGGCAAGTGAGCCTTGTTGGTACAGCTGTCACTGGGAGCTGCTCTGACCCATGGCAGGGTTGTTTCAGTAGCAGTTCCCCATTTGTGGCCCTCCTGTCACCCTCATTACTGACTTGCAGGAGGAATTTGAAAACATCCCTGTTTGATGGCTGAAGGAAACTGTTCCTGGCACCCCTAAGATCAGTGCCTGGGCTGAGTTTTATTATGGATGTGCTCGCCACCCTGGGTTCCTTCAGGAGGAGGAAGTTGAATGAATGAGGGGGGAAGAACTAATTTTTGAGTGACATAAGTATAAGGAAGGCTTTTTAAAGAAGTTGCTGTTTGTGTACCGCATATGAGCCTCAGAAATAAAAGTTGCAGGCTGCAAGGCCAGCTACTGCTGAGGCTTTCCATACTAAACTTAAGGACTGCAATTAAGAAGCTCAATAGCTTGAGTTATCTAGAAGCTCAGTCTCAAAGTCGTGTGTAAGTAATAACATATTGGGCATAATCAAAAATACAGTCGTGTACTGCAAATTTTAAATAAAAACATTTTTTTATTAGTCTTGTGCCAAACATTTAACCATTTCATTTGGAGTGCAAAGAGTTTTGAGTGAGGCTGAAATATTTCCCCCACTTTGCTACCTAACCAGTTGCTTGTTTACTGAATCAGCTGTTGCATCAGAACCAGCATTAAGCTATGTAAGTGAATCAACTCAATTACTTTGACCAAACTAATTGCTCTGAAGTTTACATTTTTAGTTCTATATGAGTAGCTAGGAAATTCCAGGGCTAGAACCAGTTTGCGGCAGCTGCCTGTGGTGAGCCGTCAGAACTGCAGCTTGGATTATCATCTGGACAGGAAGGCTATAAAGGCTTCCTTTTGTGGGATGGGACCTTGCCTGAGCAAGATGCTCCTTCTGGTTTTGATGTGTTCTTTGGCTTCAACTCCTTTCTTGGTCCCTTGGTCCCAATTCACCAGTGCAACTCTGACAGTTGCCTATGGCTTAGCCCTGACATTAGGCTGGGATAACTAAATATTTATTTGGTATATATGTGCTTCTGAATATAATGCTTCTGTGAATAAAAAGTGCATAGCATTGATGTACCAGTGAAATGTGATTTGTATAAAATGCAGGCTATTTCTCCTTGTGCTGTCTAAATTCTCATAACAGTGTAAATATATTTCAGTTCAAGAATACTTGCCACTGTTACTTATCAAATATCCAACAATTTTGTACAATGACACATTATAAATGACAGGTTCTTTACCCTGAAAATTTCTGGATAATCTAATCTGGACACCAACACCAGGCTTTTGGGAGCAAATACTTCTGCGGGCTGGATCAAACCTGTCTCCTCCTCTCCTTCTGTTTCTCTTGATCCCTTTGAAAACAGACATACTTCAGTCAACAGATAAGATGGTGATCACCTTTTGGAGAAATAGTATTTTTTAAAATAAAACCCAAATATGTCCTAGAATTTAAAATAAAATATAGCTTTTATGAAAACATTAGAACTTTAAATGAACTACCATGCAATTTCAGATAGGTAGCCGTGTTGGTCTGCCATAGTCAAAACAAAAAAAATTCCTTCCAGTAGCACCTTAAAGACCAACTAAGTTAGTTCTTGGTATGAGCTTTCGTGTGCATGCACAGGTATCTAAAGAAGTGTGCATGCACACGAAAGCTCATACCAAGAACTAACTTAGTTGGTCTTTAAGGTGCTACCATGCAATTTGTACCTCACGGTTCCCAAGATGACTTATTGAAACAAGCAGATAAAATAGCTAAGCACAGTTTTTGCACAAAACACAAAGGGGAAACTTCTACATTGAAAGCAAAAGCAACTCTGCTTCCTACAAGTTAGTCAAAAGCTCCTCTTTGAAGCTATCATAACATAGTAGTTTTCATTAAAAGTGTGAACTCATGTAGCTCTATCTGTGAACTTATGACATTTCTAATCCTACCCATAGATTTCATCCTACATCATGTCATTCAGTAGACAGAATGCCAAGGGCAGCAGAGAATCACACCTCAACGGCCCACTGGGATTTGTTGGATTGGTCTCTCACTAATTACTACCCCAATCAGCTGTTGCTTCCTAGACAAGAGGACTGGGCAGGCCCCAAAAGCTGCAGGTAGGTGGTAAAGAGAGATTGGTATTTCAAAACATGAGACCTGAGTTCCAGTTTTGCTGACTGTCTCAAAAGGTTCTAGTACTGACCTCTGCAATTTTTATTCAAAATCATTATTTCTAGCAGTGTGACAGCAGCAAAACATGCTTTGGCTTGCACTGGATATGCCAGTAGTACTTGTTTGTAGCCTAGGAGAATTCAAATACACATTTGTAGCAGGAGAATTCAAATACACATCAACTTGTTTCTTACTGTAGCTATCCTACCAGGAGAGGACACTGGGACCTACTATCCAAGCTAAAGGGCAGATTGAACTACTGGGCTATAGCAAAAGAGTACAAATGAAAAGGAAGTTTTTGTTCCTTCTACCTCACTGTTTACAATGCTCTGCTGCCTGTTGACTGGAGCTGTCCATGAATAATTAAGCTGAATAATGAATGTCACTGGCATACACATTTGCTGTTTCTGTGATGTTTTCTTTGAATATTAATTGTTGTTGAGTTGCTGCTAACATAGCAGCCTGTATTAGCTAAATTAAGACTTTCAACTTTATTTTTTTATTAAAAACCAATTTGAGTTCAAATAGGATTTTTAAATTCGAAAACATTACATTTTCAGGACCTTGAATGATCACAGCAGGCCATATCTCTACATCTATATGAGAGACAGGGATTTTCTTTTCAAACTGTATGGCATGAAAAATAAAAACAACCAAACATGTTTAAAGGAACCTTATAGCAAGGATAGCTCACTTTTGTGTCAGAGTAAATGTATATATGTTTATCCTTTTTATTGGACCATAAAGTTATGGAAGAATGTACAAGTTGTTAAAATTACATTGAATGTCAGGCCAAACCCTGTTTTGTGTACCTCGGTTTGCTTATTCTCTTTTACTAATATGTTAGCTAATATGTTGGCAACTCCTTACCTATTTTGTACCTCTTCTTGTACAAAAGTGTATCATCTTTTGTAAAGTCAACCATCATGATCCTTAACATACTGGTAAGGCCTATGAATGAGCTGACCGACTTGAATCTAGTAGCTGTAAATAGGAAGCTTCTCAGTAGTGAACAAGACACAGAGCTCACCTACACTTCCGCTTCTCCTGTACCTAGAAAGGATGGGTCTGACCGGTTTTTCGCTTGTCCCATGCTTTCTAGGCATGGGTCTGACTGGATTTGCCTTTGCCCCTCCATTTCCCCCTGGAAAACTTGTTCTTTAGTGTTAAATCAGAACAAATGGAAATCTGTGGAAAACCTGATTCTGATTCAGTGCTAAACTGCAGGTTTTCCTGGGGGAAAGTGGAGGGTCAAACGGAAACTTCTGAATGCAAGCTAATCAAAGCTTACTAAGTCTTGTTGCCCTGAACTGTATTTGGTATAGCAGTGACTAATATCATTTTCACTTTGTACTATGCTGTGCTACAGGACTGTCAGCTATTATCAGTGAAAAATACTTTCTAAAATTGGATAAACATCTTGCTGTGGGAACCACCAATACATTTTAAAATAATTTAAGAGCAAACACTGCACAATGCTCTCTAGCAGTGTTTACAGCAATGGATATGCCCACAGTAAATCCTCTCAGAACATTTCTATTACCCAGTTTCAAAACCTTATTCAGATTCGATACATCAAATAGGTAAGATGAATTGATTCTTACAAGCAGACTTATCTATAATTAGTATGGAGATCAGCTTTATACTACATTAGGAGAAAAAGAAAAAAGAGCTAGAAATAGCTAACAGAACCACAATTATTATTTATATCGCTGAAGTAAAATCTGACTTAATTCCAGTCATTCTCATTGTTTGCTAAGTTACTTCTTTTTATAGAAAACAGTTTTATATCTAGTAAAAATAGATAGTGGAAACAGTTGGAGATTAGTGTTTCACTTAAAGGGAAAAAACCCAAACAACACCCTAACAATCACCTAATACATTCAGGTAGGTAGCCGTGTTGGTCTAAGGCAGTAGAAATATATTTTAAAAAATTAAAAAATTGTCCAGTAGCACCTTAGAGACCAACTATGTTTGTTCTTGGTATGAGCTTTTGTGTGCATGCATACTTCTTCAGATACACATTGAAATACATTGTTTTCTTTTACTAAATCATGAAAAACAGTCCACATGACTACAAAGGTGAATTTTGATAAGATTCTCTGGCACTGCAAGTTAGGATTGAGATCACACTGGGTTCTACTTGAGTTCTTTTGATGAAATACCAGTAGGTGGCACTGGAGATTCTTACAGCAAGTACTTCCAGGCTTCCTTCATATAGGGATGACCCATGACACATAGGAGTGGCTTGGAAGACTTTTAAATTCTGTTCAACTTAGTCATTTCTTTCAGCTGGGTACTCCTACAAAAACCATGCTATTTGAAGGTAAAACAAACAGATGTGAAGGAACTGTACACTAATCTTCCATGCGCTGCATCGTTTCCCATCTTGCTTCCAAGAGTAAGAGTGACAAACATCTGTGTGGCACAACAAAATCAGTGAACCTTTGTTTCACTACCAGCAGAAATGAAAAGTACCGTAATTTTCCTACAAACAACTTGTAACAGACAGTGTGAATAAGAAGAACTGCATGACCTATACAGCATTTGAATGAAAACTCTTGTATGGTTCAACAGGAATCTCTTCTCTGTCAAAAGTATATTTTGGATTTGAATGGGAAGATATGGAGGACATATTATTTTATCTTTGTCAGAGAGCAGAGAATGTAATCTGAACTGCAGTTTAACTGTAAATTAGGAAACAATCCCATGGAAAACAAGCTCTCCCCAATGAACAATGCCTTCTGCCTGTAGAGATTCAGCTTTCATGGATCAAAGGACCCTTTCAGATGTTTTTATTCGTGGCACCCTCTCTGTAGAATTACCTCCCATCTAAACTAAAGCCAATGCTAACTCTGATGCCATTCTGGTACAGTGGTACCTCAGGTTAAGTACTTAATTCGTTCCGGAGGTCCGTTCTTAACCTGAAACTGTTCTTAACCTGAAGCACCACTTTAGCTAATGGGGCCTCCCACTGCCGCCGCGCCGCCAGAGCATGATTTCTGTTCTCATCCTGAAGCAAAGTTCTTAACCCAAGGTACTATTTCTCGGTTAGCAGAGTCTGTAACCTGAAGTGTATGTAACCTGAAGCATATGTAACCTGAGGTACCACTGTACTTCCTTTAAAAACACATTTATTTTCTCAGGTCTCTGTTACAAGTTAGTTGTATTAATTTAACTCTGCCCTGGCCTAATGGCTGATGTTTTTATTTTGTATTATAATTTAGAGAGAGAGAGAGAGAGAGAGAGAGAGAGAGAGTTTTACTGTACACCACCTTGCAATTTCAAATGAAAGGTGGCATATTTATATATTCCAATAAATATTTTAAAATGGGAAGAGAAAAGGCTTTTATGTCCATAATGTTTCCGATTTTTTTTTTAGAAAAGGGAATCAAGCTAGATCCTGAAGGCATAGTTTCAAGTAGCTGGGTCCAAATCTGAGAGAAAAGATCCATATTTTTCATTAAATGGAGCTGGTTAAAAACCAGTGATTAAACACAAGTCTTATCGCCTGACACTGTTATGTAGTTTCCTAACAAAGCAATGTATTTTTTTGCAGACATTGCATATGGAGCCTATAAAGTTAACATCTGCAAGTCTTACTGTTGCACATGTAAAATTATGTGTAGATATAATACATCCTAATGTGTTCAGAAAATATTGTACGTTTATTGAAAGTATGTTTATCTGTGTGGATTTGTATTAGTCTGGTTACATGCTGTTCCACTTCTGCGTGGCATTTCTTGAAGTCTGAGCAACAGAACAAACCACGTGCTCAGCAAAAAAATCAGAAGCAATTTGACAAATATTATATCACTATGGTGCAAGATGTCATCACTAAAGATAAGGTATTATAAATGGCTTTTTAAAATGCAATTAGTTACATATTTTTGCATAAAAGGACAACTGCAAGAAATCTAGCTAGAGGAAGCCTAAACTTTTCAATTCACATTGAAAAGAGTGTCAGCATTCCCTAATTCCAGCATTTCAACCATGCTTACCCATGCAAAATTTCTATCACAGAATTCTCTTGCTGTGGGAAAAGTGAGATTTACCCACATTTATTCCTTCACAAAGAAATGAGCCAACTGCATAGACAGATCTCATTACCTTACAAAATGCTAAGCAGAGGAGATGGCTGCACTTCAAAAAGCTATTAGTAAGCACTTTGTAGAACCAATTACAAAAGCC